CCCTGTGCGTTTCCAAGACAGTAACCATTTGCCGGAGTAGAAAGCCCCATCGTTGACCCGAAGAGCAGCTGGTGGTTTCAAACTGCAGACCTTGTGGATCTCAGCCTAACTTGTAACCACTATGCCACCAGACAGCAATTAGCTCCTACAGTGGGTCAACAAACATTCCTTGATAGGAGGGGGTGGGCGAGGCGGAGGTCATGCCTGGCTCTGTGTTGAGAGATCCCTGGTGTAGGCAGGGGACAGGGGGGACACCATTCTGGCCAGGGCTGGTTTTCCTTGGCTTTGGGACAGTGACCAAGCTTAGTTTCCAAGGGCCGCTTGGAAGAGCCCTTGAACCTGCCTGCACTCACGCTTTTGTGGCAGGACAGGAGCTTCCGAATTGGATCGCACTTCAGAGGAGTCCTGGCGCCCAGTCAGTCCTTTGCCCTCTCAGCCCCACAAGCAGGTTTGAGTGCCAGGTCTGTGCCAGGTGCCGTGCCGCGCACAGGCACAATGAGCAGGGGGCGTGTAGCCTCTGCCTTCTTACAGTAGAACTACTGGGCATTAAGCACACAATTCCACGGATAATTGTGTTTTGTGGTTGTGGTGAGGACTGGGCCCTTTGCTGAGGTCTTTGAGTGGCTTTTTGGTGCACCTTGGTCTGGACTGTTCTTCGATAGGATAACTCGCCCTTGGAAAAAGGAGGCAGAGAACTAAGCCCCGAGGGGGACAGTCGGAGAGTGCATGCCCGCATCATATAGATGTGTATGAAAGCCCTAAACACAGTGCCTTCTGGGGCCCGGGGTCAGCTCACATGGGGAGACTGCCTTCTGTTACCCACTTTGCTCTTGGGGGTCATCCCGATACCGCAGGAGAGCCTGCTGTTCATTCCTCCTGGGGACCCAGGTGCAGAAAGGTCGGTTTGTGTTGTGGTCTCGATCTGAGAGCCACACAAGGTGCTGTCTTTTAGGAGCAGCGACCTGACCCCACGTCTGGGCAGAGCAGGGCATTCAGCCCCTCAAGAGCTGCATCCAGGGCACTGAGGTTGGCTGTGAAGTTAGTGTTTGAGACTTTTAAACATGCTTCAGACTGTTTGAAGAACCCGCGGGTAACATCTCCCAATCAGTTCTGTAGAACTTGGTCACTTGGCAACAGACCCTTCGGGACGGATCGGTCCATTTCTGCTGCAAGAGAAAAATAGGAAGCATTCGCAGGCTGAGAAATTCCAGTTTTCGTTCACATGAAGCCTGGTGGCGGCGCAGTTGTACTTTGGGCTGCTGATCGCAAAGTCAGCAGTTTGAAACCACCAGCTGCTCTGCGGGAGACGAAGCTTTCTACTCCCGCAAAGAGCTAAAATCTTAGAGACACCCCGCCCCCCGGGACAGTTCTCCCCGTGAGTTGGAATAGGCTTGATGACCGTGAGTTTGAAGTGGTTTGTTGGTTGGCTGGTTTCTTATGATGCCAAGGCCTTCAGCTTTCCAGTGTCTGTTTGACTCCTTTTGTTTTCATAAACAAAGACGTTGTAGGAGACTGATAGAGCCTTTCCCCAAACCTAACCTTGGGAATCCAAAGCAAGTAAGCACTGAGATGACCACTTGCATGCCCTCCCTGTGGACAGCTTTTATACCCCTGTGCACAGAGGCTCTTTGGGTGGGTCTCGAGTGCCCAGCGGTGACCAGCCACAGCCTTGAGCATCACCAGAGAAAGCAGTGGCAGACCCACTGGCTGCCAGTCCCGAGGCCCAGCCAGACCACACCAGTCCTCACTGAGCCTGGAGAGTCTAACTCAGGAGCACACCGGGCCCAGAACCCCGCCTGGGATTGGAGGAGGCTTCCCAGCGCAGCTGTGGCCTGCAGTGAGAGCTTAAAGGTGCAGGGGGATGGCCCATTGGCCCGGAAGAAGAGGAGTGTTCCAGACCTGGCCCGGAAGAAGAGGAGTGTTCCAGGCCGGAGGCACTCTGTGTGCAAAGGGCAAAAAGTGCCTGGGAGGCCACGGCGCAGGACAGCTCCAGGAGGAGCCCGCCGTCTCCCTGCTGCGGGGAAGTGGAGAGTGGGTGCGGACCCACCAGGGCCAGTCACATTTGCATATCCCAGCCAGTGGGGAAACCATCTGATTTGGATGCTAGTGAACTCCGAGGGTGTTGAGCCAGCCTGCGCGTGCCTGGAGGGGCAGCGAGGCCCAGGAGTTGTATTGGTCCAGCTTTCATTCCCAATTCCAGTCTAGCTTCCCAACCGTGGTGGTAGCACCTCCCTCACAGAGCTGGTTTAAAGACTACAAATGCTTTCATTCGGCACAGCCCTTGGGCTGGTACTCGGTAGCCACTGCCCCGTGGCTGTCAGCTGCTGCCTTCCCCGGGCTTCCACGAGGCCTCTGCCTGACAGGGTCAGTAGCGCTGGCCACTTGCCCATTGAGGGACCCAGGACAAAACTTAGGACATTGTTAGAACCAGACTCCTCTCAGCCCTCTCTATACTCTCCCCACTGTAGCACAAAGCGGTGTCTCGAGGTGAGCCCAGGATCCCTTCCGGCCCCGAGTCCTTGATACCAAGCGTGTGTGTGCCCAGGTCAGCTCCCCACACCCTGCCGCCACTGACTGGCCTGGCTCAGCACTGGTCTCTCACTCCGGCTTGATCAGGGCCCTGGGCCTTGGCCTGCCTTACCTGCAGTCTTGGGATCAGGTGGTTGAGTGTTCGAGCCTCTGGGTGTGGCCCCAAGGTGCCTTAGGCAGTCGGTATTGTTGCTGCAGGTGCAGCGCTGGTTTCTGACTCAGCAACCCCGTGTGTCAGACAAAGCCATGCCGTTGGGTTTCTGGGTCTAGTCTTGATGGAAGTAGATTGCCTGGTCTTTTCTTCCAAGAAGCCCCGGGTACGTTCAAGCCACCAGACATAGGGCTCCCCTCTGAGCGCTTAAGTGTGGTGTCACCAGGCCTCCTTGCAGCCAGTCCGTAAAGGGTGGAAAAGAGTTGGGCAGGGGGGCTAGTTCCTGATCAGAATCTTTCATTCACTCGGCCGCTGTTGACTAAGCACCCACAGGGTGTCCATAGCCAGGCACGGAGGCCACAGCAAAGGGACTTGGGTGACTGGGGAGGCAGCAGGCAACAGCACCCAGGTGTGAGCCGGGCCGGCATCGGGAGTATCAGTTCCAGAAGAAGGTGAAGGAGAGGGGTCTGGTGAGGACAGCGTCCATGTCGGGGACAGGTGACACGCTTGAGTCTGGGCGGTTGATTGTGAAGGAATCCCAGTGAGGTGACGTGGAAGCCGAGAATGAGAAGCAGCCCCGGGGCTCCAGACACCTCGGCCTGTGTCAAGGGGCGGCAGCAGCCAGGCTCGGGAGCCTCTTAGCCATGGCAGTCTCTCCCGAGCCCCAGCCAGAAAAGGGGGGCGGGGCTGCTGCTGGACCCCAAAGGCTCCCAGAGTACGTACTCCTATATTAGCTGTCTGACTGCTTGCTAATAAGATATGCAAATTATCAGGGCTGTGAAATCTTCGCCACATTCCATCTTCTGTTTAATTAGCATTTAATCGTAATCTCGTTTTAATTTTTTCACACTGGCACCCTAATTAAATGTTAGGGTGTTAGTCTTAACAATTAAATTATATTGGCAAATAGAGTCTTCAAGAAACTTGACCTTTTTCAAGCCAGGGCCCTCTCCAGCTACATGCAAACGTTAATTAGATTTCTGCAAGAGGCTGCTTCCAGCCCCCTCGGCGCCCCCATTTCAGTCTTCTCCTTGTGGGGATGGCCTGCCAGCCGGGCCCCCGCAAGCAGAGGGCACTGCTGCCAGGGCTTCGGGGTGCCTGAGCGAGCTGACGTGGCCCCGGCGCAGAGCAGCGGGGCTGGAGAGGCTTATTCCCTCCGAGGCTCCCTACTTCCTTCCTTGACTCAAAGATGCAGGTCCTTCTTGGATGCGTGATTCTCAAGTTGTGCTGCCTGGGAACGTCCGGCTCTGGTCTCATGCTGCCTGGAGCCCACCCACTTGCCGCATGCGCCGTGACCCACAGCCACCTGGAGCTCCCCAGAGCTTCTGAGGTTGACTTTACAGGCCGTCAGGCGCTCCTTCCCAGGTGCCCAGTGGACCGAGTGTTGACTTGCTGACCGTGGAGCCGGTGGTTGGAGATGCTGTGTAGCAGAGACATCAAGTCCCACGACAGCCCTTCTGGGGGGGCCGCAGTGAGATCAGCCAACAGGGGCAGGCAGCCCTGGAGGGGCGTGGAACAACAGGAAGCAGCCAATGTCGGAAAGAGCCGTTGGCTCCCGAGTGAGCAGGTGTAGGAATTGAAGCAGCATTCTGCGCTATGGCCATGCATGACTGCTTGGGAGGGTTTGGATGTGTTCGGTAAAGACAGAAGACAGCCTGCGGTCTCCCCCCACCCCACCGCACCCCACCCCCAGACACTGGGGGGAGTCCGAGGAAGTCACTAGAGAGTTAGGAGACATGCATTCCTGCCTTCTTGGGGTCCCTGTGAAGCCGTGCTCTGGGCTGCCCCAAGCCCCATCCTGGCCCTCACCTACTTTGCATACGTTCCTGGCACTCAACCCGTTGCTCACACCTCCACCTGGGCCTGCGGTTGCACATCTACCACAATTGTACGCCGGAGCCTCGGTGGAAATTCCCCTCACTGTCACTCCATGGTAGCCCTGCCTTCGCAGAAGCCTCCGGCTATCCCATTTCCCTCCGTTTTCCTGCCTCAGCCGTCCTGCGCCCCCCCCTCCCCCGGGTGCCACGCCCATCCGTTGCTTACACTTTGTCCATCGACAGATCAGAGTGCACTGCTGGGCTGCTCCCGGCAAGGTAGGCAGTTCCAAACCCCCAGCCGCCCCTCAGGAGAAAGACGGGCCACCCCTCAGGAGAAAGATGGGCCCTTCTACTCCTGGAACAGTTACAGCCGTGCAAACCTGCAGGGCCAGTTCGACCCTGCCCAGCAGGGTGGCAGGATGTCACCATCAGCCTGGTGGCAGTCGACTGAGCTTTGAGGGTTTGCAGAGCACCACGTCTGAAATCGCGCTCCCTCCCGACAGGTGTTCCGGACAGACCTGATCACAGCCATGAAGATCCCAGACTCGTACCAGCTCAGCCCGGATGACTACTACATCCTTGCAGACCCGTGGCGACAGGAGTGGGAGAAAGGAGTACAGGTGCCGGCAGGGGCAGAGGCCATCCCAGAGCCCGTGGTGAGGTGAGCCGTGGGGCCCCCGGCAGGGCGCCCACTTTGACAGAGAGCAAGAAACGCCCCGCTGCTTCCTGGGCACAGGGCCTGCCCGTCCTGACCTGCCATTCTGGTCCACCCCGGCACTGCCTGTGAGACCCCTGAAGGGCCTACACTCGACCCGTGAGATTCAAGACTCGGCTTTGGAGCCAGACTGGCTGGGTTCAGATTCTTCTTGGCCCCACACGTTCCGCAGGGATCTAACCTCACTCGGCTTCCTTGCCTGTGAAATGGCAGGGTTGGTGCCACCGCCTGTGTCGCATAGTGGTGATGGTGGTCTGGGCGGACGTCATGTGGGAAATGCTTGGCACGGGACTTGGCACGCAGCAGGCTCCCCAGTCCACCCGGGCCGGGTCCCAGCACGGCAGGCGCTCAGTGGGGAATCTCCGAGCTCTCTTCATGTTCCTCAGATGGCTGGGCTCTTGATGGACCTGGTAAAACTTTTCAGAATGCCCTCAGAGCGGCAGTCGAGAGCCCCACATGGACTGAAGTGGTTGTACCATCCTCTGTAGGGGATAGGGGGGCAGGGCCAGTTCTCCACCTGGGCTCAAGCTGCATTCTGGCCCGGTGTCTGGAGGCCCGTATCATGTTTCAGTGCCTCCAAGCGCTTCTTCCTCACCTGGAGCCTCCTCCAAGCCAGCTCAGGGGCACAGGGGCTATGGCCCTATATTGCCCTCACAGCACCCGGGCTGGGCAGCTTGGGTCATTGGCCATCTACTTGTGACCTTGACAGTCCATAGCTCTTGTTCAGCCTCATGGTGACCGGGCCTGAGGCGGGGACAGAACTGCAGCCTGTCCCCTCCATGGGCACTGCTGCTCCCTGGCAGCTGCTCCCACCCATCCACCCACCGCGTGCCAGCCAGCCCTGTGCTCTGTACGGTTCACACAGGCTGAGTACCTCCTGAGCACCCTCTTGGGTCCTAGGTCAGGACTGGGCAATGGGCAGGACCAGTCCTGCGCCAGTGTCGTCTGCCCCCTACCACACTTGTCCAGAGTCTTCTGAGAATGGGAACCCCAGGGGTGGGGGCCTTGTGTGGGGGGTGGTACATGTAAAATTTGGAGAATGGATCTATTCTCCATGGCCTTGCCCGGAGTCAAGAACTCGGGTTCACCCCCAGCCAAACTCTCGCCGGCATCTCTGCAGACTCACGAGCTATGGCATGACTTCTTCCAGCCTGTTTCTTCCCCTGTGAAATGGGTACATTGGCAGTCGCTGCGTCTGGCCATGTGGCTGGGTGCAAGGATTCGGTCAGCCAAGTTGACACCTGCGTGCCTGGTATGTGCCAGGCCAGGGGCAGTTTGGGACGGGCTGGCCACCAGCTGGACCAAGAGAGGGGATCCCTGATCTGGCTTGGCCCAGCAGGTGTGCCCTCTCTCCTTGATGTCAGGGTCAGGTAATTCTGGAAACATCTGCTGGCCTGGGTAATTGACTACAGGTGCTCTCCTCCCCGCCCCACCCCCTCCCCGCCCCACCCCTAGCTGGGCTTCCGGCCTGGTGCCTTATCTGTTGACATCAAGGGGCAAGCACGTGTTCAGGCGTCTCAGTACATTCCCAGCAGGCACATGGCTGCCTAAGACAACACCAGCCTTGTGCCCGGGGTTCCAGGGAAAGGACAGACAGAGGGTGGGAGGGGCCCTCTTGGCAAGAGTGCCTGCCCCCTTCCCTCTCCAGCCCAGCCCCCTCCCCCACAGCCCCCCCGCCAGCCCCCGCAGGTTGTCCTGGGTGTCTTCTCCTGCCAGGCCCTCAGCTGGAAGCCAGCCTGGCCTCACGGTGGTCATAATCATCAGAGGACTTCTGTTTCCAAGCGCTGGCGAGCAGGCTCCGTTGTTTTCTACGGGGTGATCGTATCAGCCCTTGTTTTGTAGATGAGGAAGCTGGGAAATTCTGGGGACTTCCCTGAATGACTTTCTGTACCTAGTGGGCTGGGTCAGGAAACAAACAGGCCACGGAAGGACTCCAGGGTGCCCCCATGAGGCCCAAGGAGAGGACGACCAAGGGTGCTCTGGGTCCCCTCCCCTCTGGGTCCCCTCCCCCGGCTGCTAGCTTGCCCCCAAGTCCGCCGGGTCCATCCCACGGGAGCGTCTGTTTCCCTGGGGACCCTGAGCTGAGCGGTGAGGCACGCCCAGTGTGTCCAAAAGACGTAGCCCCGGGAAACCGTCTTCTGGTTCCTGGTCCCTCTGGGACAGAACTGCATCTCACCCCCTCCAGGGGCCTCAGCCCACCCTCCTTGCAACTGACCTCGTCTAGCCGCTGTGGCTAGAGCAAAGAGGATGAGGCCTTCTCTGCCTTAGGGTTGATCAGCCTGGGCTGGGGACGGACCTTCCTCCAGAGCCAGAAGTCACACAGATGGAAGGGGGAGCTCCAGGAAGCCCAGGGAATTAGCCTGCATAAATACATCCAGAGTGAGGATGTGATCTTGGACCGCATGAGGTCTGGCCAGGTGGTACCTGCAGGTGTGGTTTGTCAGGACAGTAAGTGGTGGGCATTCCTGGGAGGGCTGCCCAGAAGCCGTTGGTTTTTAAAGAGTATCTGCATGCAAGGAACAGCCTCACAAGTAATGTCAGACCTCGGTGGGCTAAGTAATAGTGTTGCTTCTATTTGGAGACATACGCGCACCCCTATTGAAAGGGGAGGGGCTCTTATCATTGCCTAAGCTTTTGCTTACTCTCCCCCTGATCCCCAGAGACCTCACCTGGCACCCTCCCCACCCTGCTTGGGCCTCTGTCTCCGTCAGTCTTCAGGCCCTTCTTGCCAATGCCCAGGGAATTTCCTGGAGTCCTAGAGCCCATGCCACCGCTCAGCTGTGCCTCTGTGCCAGCCAAGGCCCTGCCCTGCCCTCCCCTCCCCTGTCAGCAGCTGAGTCACAGGCTCTGGCAGCCCTGCCTCCGACCCCCAGGAGGCCTCTCCTGGACAAGCGAGGGGCCTCTCGGGCCTGGCAGGACTGGCCAGATGGAGGCCAGGCTCTACAGCAATAACCATGGCAACCGGTGGGGGGTGGGAAGAGTTGGCACTTGGAGCTGGCATCGAGAGCTGAGGGGCAGCCTGCAGCAGAGCCAGGAGGGGGAACTGTGCAAAAGCCAAAGCAAAAGGCTCCTGTATTGCACCTCAGACACGGGCGGGTGACACCAGGGGCCTCACGCACGCCGTCCTCCCAGCACGACAGGATGGAGCCACCACTGCTTCCCATTTCATGGGGGAAGAGGCTGGGCCACCGAGAAGTGGCTTGTTCACGCCACCACGGCCAGAACCCAGGTCCCTCGGGAAGGGTGCTGGGACTGCGGTTGATGTGTCTTCCGTGGGGAGAGCAGGGTAGTAAGAGACGCCCTGCTGATGGAGCAGCGTGCCGAGCCCCCGAAGGTGGCGGTGACCCCTGTTCTGCAGTCATCAGGCTGCAGCTGCACCTGCGTAGGGCCACAGAAGACCGTGGAGTGTGCAGGCTGTCGGGGAAGGAGAGGCTGGGGCGAGCGAGGGCATATGGACAATCTCAGACCCCTCCCAGCCTTGAGGGGTATGCTGGAGTGGCCAGCACAGGGGACGTGGTCCGGGAAGATCCAGCTCAGGACCGACCGCACCTATGTTTTGGGGCACGGGGTGCTAGTGGAGATGTGTTCCGAGCAATTGGGATGTTTAGAGAGTGGGCAGGGGCTGTGGGTCAGCCTGCTCCCATCCCCACTCTACCCGAGTCCCCTGAAGCTGTGCAGGGCAGGGAGATGGGCAAGGAGGGGTGGAAGTACGGGCTGGGGTGAGGGGCTGCTGTGGATCGAAGCATGGGCAGCCTCTCTTGCCTGTGAGCTCCTTCGCCAGCCGGTGTGGGGCAGGAGCTCCCTATGGGAGTCCCTGCACCCAGTGGGGATGGGAGCCGCAGGTGCTCTGCTCACAGCGCCCCTACTTGGTCTCCTAGGATTCTCCCACCGCTAGAAGGCCCTCCTTCCCAGGTGCCCCCAAGCAGCTCCGAGCCCGGCGAGGGTTCCCATCCTGACTGGCCGGGAGGCAGCCGCTATGACCTGGACGAGACTGACACCTCCTGGCTGGAGCTCATCAACTCGGAGCTGAAGGAGATGGGTAGGTGACCCCAGTCTGGAGTGGGGGCTGGGCTAGGGCATAGAGAGGGCGCTTGGCAGCACCAGTGTCCTGTCTCAGCAGGGCCGTGGTGGCTAGGACCGGGCTCCAGTGAGGAGCTGGAGGGAGAAGCCCCCATCTCTGTGTCAGATGGAAGGGAGGATGTACCTCTGATTGGGTGTGTGTGCAGCGGTCCCGTGGGGAGGATGCAGGGGCACGTAACTGACCACCCTCGCTCTGAGGACCATCACTCCCTGCCATCCAGTCGATGCTGACTCACAGCGACCCTGTAGGACAGGGCAGAACTGCCCCTGTGGGTTGCTGAGACGGTCACTCCATGGGAGTAGAAAGCCCCATCTTTCACCCCAGCCCACCCCCAGGGTGGCTGGTGGCCTCTAACTGCTGGTCTCACGGTTAGCAGCCCAACATGTAAACGACACCCCCGGGCTCCTTGGGGCTACAGTAATCGGTGTGACTGTTAGGCGAAGAATAAGGGGACATACACCATGAGCCATGGGGGGCCGGGAGGCCTCTGATAGGAGCCTCCTGACCGGAGCCCACTAGCCTGGCCCAGGAAGGGCCACTTGTGTGGTATTCAGCCCCCTTCAGACAGCCCCTCAGACAGACAACACCGACAGTGGGTTCCGATGGAGCAGCCTCATCCCAGGGCCAGTCCCCCCTCGGCCCGTGATCTGCCTACGCACTCGAGCCTGTGCGCTGGCAGGCAGGCTGTCTATGCCCGCATACCACAGCAGACAGGGGCTTTGCCATCTGTAGATAACTGGACGTCCACTCACAGAAGGGTCACAAGGAAGGGACAAGTCCGCCAGGGTGCACTGTAGCACCAATGGAACACACAACATTCCTCCAGTTCTTTAATGCTTCCTCCCCCCCGCTACCATGACCCCAATTCTACCTTACAAATCCGGCTAGACCAGAGCAGGTACACTGGTACAGATAAGATTTCTCGACACACAGAATCCAGGGCAGATAACCCCCTGAGAATCAATAATGAGAGTAGCGATACCAGGAGGGTAGGGGGGAAAGGGGGAACCAATTGCAATGATCTATGTATAAACCCCCTCCCCCCCAGGGGGAAGAATATCAGAAATGTATATGAAGGGAGATAGCGGACAGTGTAAAATATGAAAAATTAAAAAATGAAAGATATGAAAGTAATAATAACTTATAATTTATCAAGGGGCCAAGTAGGGGAAAAAAGAGCTGATACCAAGGGCTCAAGTAGAAAGAAAATGTTGGGGAAATGATGATGGCAACATGTGTACAAATGTGCTTGACACAATGGATGGATGGATTGTGATAAGATCCATAATCCCCAAATAAAAAGACAGGGGCTTTGGAAATGACCGGGTCTAGCCAGTCTGTTCTCAGACCATGATGCCCAGGCCCAGAGACTGCGGCTGCTTCTTGCCGGGTCACACAGCTGGTAAGAGGGAACTGCCAGGGGCAGCCCCAGAGCAGAGCCAAGGGCCCGCAGAGCTCCCTGACCCGGCCCGCTGACTGCCCGCAGAGAGGCCCGGGCTGGACGAGCTCACGCTGGAGCGCGTGCTGGAAGAGCTGGAGACGCTATGCCACCAGAACATGGCGCGGGCCATCGAGACCCAGGAGGGGCTGGGCATCGAGTACGACGAGGACGTGGTCTGCGACGTGTGCCGCTCTCCCGAGGGCGAGGACGGCAACGAGATGGTCTTCTGTGACAAGTGCAACGTGTGCGTGCACCAGGTGGGTGGCCCCCAATGTCCCGTCCCCCCCCACCACCCCCCCACACACACACACGGAGCCCGGGCAGGCCTCCATCCCTCTACCTGGAGCTGGTCTTAGTGGCCTCAGGAGCGCCAGGCGCTGTGAGCCAAGACCCTGAAGGAGGAGGAAGAGAATGGGGGAGGAGGAACATCCAGGACCCCTTCACTGGTCCTGCTCTGCCCCACCCCAGGCACACCTCCCTTCACACCCTGAGTGGAGGGAGAAAAGCCTTCCCAAGCCGTGGGCTCTGGCAAGGTTCTGAACCTCTCTGGGCTTCTGTTTCCTCGGCGCTCAATGAGGTGAGCGCATTAAGGTCCTTACCACAGTCATTTGCTTAAAGCAGCAGCTCCCTGACAGGGGCCGTAAATATGTGTCACTGTTACTGGTGTCATAAGCCAGGTGTCAGCTAGCCGGTCCGGTCCGGTCCTCTCAACGCAAGCCCCAAAGAGCTAGGGTTTTTTGCATCTCTGGGCCTTGTTTACAAAAGAACTGAGAGGACCCAGGGGCCCCTCTCTGGGAAAGCCTCTTGGAGCGTGACTTCGAGATGCCCTTGGCTGGTGGACGCGCCCCTGGGGAGCTCAGAGCCCGGCTGCCCCTGCCCGGCAGGTGGTAAGTCGTGCTTCTCTGGTGCATCAGCCAGGGTCCCTGTGTCGCTTCCTAAGCCCGAGGTACGACAGCAGGCGCCCTCCTCACCAGCCCCCATGTTGATAAAGGAGAGCTCTGAGCCTTGTCACTGGGCAGTGCATTCAACTTTAAGGGACTTCCTGGACAACTCCCCCACCCCACCATCTCCCCCTGTGAACCTCCGGCCAAACCCCAGCAGGGGGGCAGACCTGAGCACACCCAGGGCTCCTCTGGCTGGTGGTATTTCGGGCTCTCGGAGGAATGCCTCCCCAGGGTCGGAAACAGCGGAGGTTCAGGCCCGGGATTGGACGGAGACCTCCAGGGGTGACTTGGCGCATGCCAGCGGCTCACCACACCCCGCTCTCTCCCCAGGCATGCTATGGGATTCTCAAGGTGCCCACGGGCAGCTGGCTCTGCCGGACATGCGCCCTGGGCGTCCAGCCGAACTGCCTGCTGTGCCCCAAGCGAGGAGGGGCCCTGAAGCCCACCAGAAGTGGGACCAAGTGGGTGCACGTCAGCTGCGCCCTGTGGATTCCTGAGGTGAGCAGAGGGCGGGAGCAGCTGCTGGGTCTGCACACACGGGGACCTGAGACAATGGACCCATGTGCAAACAGGACAGCATCTGGTGACAGTGTCAGCAGAACTCAGGCAGTAGCCGGGGGAGCAGAATGCAGAGGAGGCCGGCTGTGGAGCCCCCCCACCCCCCAAGCTAGGCAGTGGCCCCAACCCAAGGGAAGCCATACATTTCAAACAAACCAAAGCCACTGACCTTGAAGAAAATCCAGCATCAAGCAGACCTGGGGGGTCGGTTCCCCCAGGTGAGGAGAGGCCCTGGGTTCATGGAGAGCCCAAAAGTCAAGTTCATTGCCATCGGATCCATTCAGTGCACCATGGCCCTCCAGAGCATTTCCCAGCCTGACCATCTTTCCTGGAGCTGGAGCAGACTGCCTGCTCCTTTTCCCTGGGAGCAACAGATAGGTTTTCAATGCCGAGCTTGGGGTTAGCAAACCCCTCCCAAACCACTCACTCCCTGCCACTGAACCGATGATGACGACGCATGGGCACCTGAACCCACCCAAGCCCATTCTATTTGAACTGTGAAATGCTGCAACTCAGCACATTTCAACCCCACCGTACTGTGTGTCCTGACACAGCAGGTGGCTCTCTTCTTGCTGGAACATGTCCCCAGCTCAGCACTAAAGGGCTGGCCCTCCTTCAGAGTATACTCTGGGCTGGACACACTAGGGAGAGAGGCAGCAGGGAGTGCCCATGGTGGGCCCACTTGCCTCAGAGCGTGGTGTCCAGGAGACAGGTCTGTTCAGGACCTGGGGCAGGGCCCTTCTTTTAGTCTAAGGCGTGGGCATTGTCCTGTTTTGGGGGTGGTCAGATGGGCTGTTTCCAATAGACGTAGGAAGAGTTGTAAGAGGAGCAGGGGGCGCTGAAGAAAGGTTGCCACAGGCCCTGGCTGGTGCCCAGAGAAAACCACATAGATGTGTAAAAGTTGGATAACGAGATCGAATCAGCAGGATCCGTAAAGAAGAACTCTGGAGAGGCTGTTCACAGAGGCTTGAGCTGTTGAAGAATGGGGGTCTTTCATGTGTACATGTGTGTGCACACATACACGCAGTGGCACCTCTGCCCTGAGACCCGCCCAGCCACAGACACGCAGCCTGCCAGTCTGACACACAGGTGCACGCTGCCACACTGACCAGCCATTGGAAGGCACTCGCTGACGAGTGCACATTGTACCAGAAACATGGTTGGCTTGGGCCAGCGAGGAGGGGCTTGACCTTGGGGCCATGCTGCTTGGAGTCAGGAAAGACCTGCGATTCAGGGCCTCTCCCCTCCTCCTCTGAGATGCGTGGAGGCCGGCGTGGCATAGGCGAAGGGTCTGACGTAGCTCCCCTGTGTCCTGCCCAGGTCAGCATCGGCTGCCCGGAGAAGATGGAGCCCATCACCAAGATCTCTCACATCCCGGCCAGCCGCTGGGCTCTGTCCTGCAGCCTCTGCAAAGAGTGCACGGGCACCTGCATCCAGGTACGGAGCTGGCACCCTTCCTTCCTGGGCTTCCGTGACACCGCAGGCCTGTGGGACTGGGACCCCACCGAAGGAGCACTCCTCCAGGGGAGGAGGGGAGCCTGCGGAACCAAGTTCCCTGCCCCATTGCCGTATTGAGAACTCTGGCATGCCCCAAGAGTAAGTGCTCTGGGTGTGAGAAGTACACTGAACCCCCTCTTGACATCAGACTTGATTTGTAGGAGAGTTGGGAATTCAACGCCAGGTAAGCTAAGAGGCTCTCTGGACAGAGGACAGGGCCGCGCTGGTCTGTCTGTAGCAAGCCCTAGTGTGCATCAGAACTCGGGGCCCACTGCCGTGGTCAGTTCTCACTCTCAAAGCAGTGTGCTGTATCCCTCAGGTAGAGTCTCTCACTAAGTCCCCAAGCAGGAGAGCTAGCCTCATCTCTCACCTGAGGAGCCGCTGGTGGTTGGAATTGCTGACCTTGCAGTACACAGTCCCACAAGTGGTGGTGCTGTTAGATGCCGCCGGGTTGTTCGTTCGGCTCAAGGTGGGCCTGTGGACAATGAGACCCCTTCTGGTCCTGCTCTCCTCCCAGCCCTCCTTCTGTCTGAGCCCACAGTTGCAGCCACTGTGTCCGTCCATCTCGCCAGGGCCTTCCTCTTCTGCACTGCCCCTCCGCTCTACCAACATAACCTCCTCCTCCAGGGACCGGTCTCTCCGGGCAGCTGCCCTGAGACCATGCTCTAAGGAGCACGCTGGCTGATCCTCTCGGGACCGATTTGTTTGCCCCTTGGGCGTTCCATGCTGGCTTCTGCAGCCAGCGCCATCATTCAGATGCATCGATGGGGGTCTTCCTTACGCAAAGTCCAACTCGCACATGCGTGTGAGATGACTGAAAGCACCAGGGCTCGGGTGAGGCCCCGAGAACCAGGCCTTGCTAAGTGAAACGCAGATCGCTGGGCCCCCTCCCAGAAGTTCTGATGCGGTGGGTTGGAATGGGGCCCGAGAATCGGCTTTTCTGACCAGTTTCAGTTGGTGGTGACACTTCTGGTCCATAAGTCACAGAAGGGGGTCTGTAGGGTGGAGGGACCTCATCTTTTTTTTTTTTTTTAATGGGGGACGTCCTCTTTTCTCCCTCATCTGTCCAGAATCGAGCTGTCCTGGCCAGCACGAGATATGCCTGCCCTGCCCATGCATCGCCCTTTAACCAGGCCCTTGTCCACGTCAGTTTGGGCTCACTGTGACCCCTGGGATCCAGTGTCCAGAGGGGCTCCCTCCCCAGGTGCAGATCACCAGCCCTTTCTCCCACAGCACAGTTGCTGGGCTGGACCTTCCACCCTTTGATAAGACCTTCAGCATGCCTTCCGACCAAATCATGGTCCCTAGTCGTTCGATGGACTGTCACTACACTGGTCCCCAGCTGCTCCCAGCTGTCATCGAGGGAGGAGGAGGAGAAGGATGGGGCCCTAGTCCAGCCCCTCCTCCCAGGTGACACCAAGTGGGAGCAGGGGGCTGGACATAGTTTTCATCTTAGATAACATTGCAGAGAGGCAAAGAGTCAGGCTCGGCTTGTTCATATGATGCTTTCTGATGTTCTCCCCCCCTCAGGGGGAAAAAAAAATACTGCGGCTTGTTCCTAAAACAGTGGTTCTCAACCTGTGGGTCAAGACCCCTTTGGGGGGGTGGAATGACCCTTTCACAGGGGTCGCCCGATTCATAACAGTAGAAAAATGACAGTTATGAAGTAGCAATGAAAATAATTTTATGGCTGTGGGGTCACCACAACATGAGGAACTGTATTAAAGGGTCGAGGCATTAGGAAGGTTGAGAACCACTGCTCTAGAGAGTACATGATACCAAGCCACCACGCTGTCCTCCCACATCACCCAGAGCTCCCCGCTTCCCACCCGCTGCAGCATTATACTTCTCAGCATGCTGGGAGCCCAGCACCTTTGATTTAGGGTCTGGGCTTTCCGTGACATCCTGGGGAAGCCCCACACCCCCAAGATCCCGCTGTCACCCTGCCCCCGCTCAGCCTGACGCCCCTCTCCCCTCTCCAGTGCTCCATGCCCTCCTGCATCACGGCATTCCACGTCACCTGCGCCTTCGACCACGGCCTGGAAATGCGGACTATCTTAGCCGACAACGACGAGGTCAAGTTCAAGTCCTTCTGCCAGGAGCACAGTGCTGGGGGCCCGCAGACTGACCCCACCGCCGAGCCCGCCGAGCCCAGCCCAGCTAGTGAGGACCTGGAGAAGGTGACCCTGCGTAAGCAGCGGCTGCAGCAGCTGGAGGAGGACTTCTACGAGCTGGTGGAGCCGGCCGAGGTGGCCGAGCGGCTGGACCTGGCCGAGGCGCTGGTCGACTTCGTCTACCAGTACTGGAAGCTCAAGAGGAAAGCCAATGCCAACCAGCCCCTGCTGACCGCCAAGACCGACGAGGTGGACAACCTGGCCCAGCAGGAGCAGGACGTGCTCTACCGCCGCCTCAAGCTCTTCACGCACCTGCGGCAGGACCTCGAGAGGGTGAGTGCCCTGCTGCCCACCCACCGCCTGGTGGGAGGGCATCCCAGGAGCTCCTGCCACCTCACATGCACTGCCCTGGGACTAGCTTCGGATCAGCCCAGGAGCTCTGGCCCCCGTGGGGGGCTAGCTGGGAGCTGAGGACTTCCGGGGCTTGGAACAAGGGGGCTGGCTGACACTTGGAGGAACAGGGAGGGTCCAGTTTATCGAGTCTCTGTTGTAGCAGCCCATTTGCATCCCTGGTGAAGAGTGGGGACCCAGCCAGTGCCAGGAGGCTAGGGAACAGTAATGGGGGGCCAACAGCCCAGGCTTCTGGCTTCTAGCGAACACTGCCTCCATCCGTGGACTGTGTGGGCCCAGCCTTGCCCCAACACGTGTGCTTCCAGTTAGATTCAGGCAGCAAAGAACTTGACCTGCCAGGCTGCCACTCTCACCTGGGCGGAGAGGCTTATGCAGGCAGCCCAGCCGACGTGTGCTGGGCCGGGCGGGCCGGTAGACCAGGCGCAACAGAGCAGCCGTGGCATGAGGGGTGCGACATCAGGTCAGTGAGGGCAGGAGATCCAGAGGCTGAGTTGGTTCTCAGCGGGGAATGCCCCCATGGGGTCAGAGCCCCTGAGCACACCAGAAGGAGGGCTCACAGAGTCTGGGGTGCTGAGGTTGACACTGAAGTTGTGTGCACGGCTAGGGAGGGGGCACTGAGTGCAGCTGACGGGGCTAGGAGGCGCCCCCAGGAGGAAGGTGGGAGAGGGGAGCCTGGCTTCAAACATCATCTTTCTGGACCCTGGGACCAGTGCTCAGAGATGCTTCTGGTCCCCTGTTCCTCTCGGGGACATTTGGCCCTAGGATTCCAGCCATGTTGCAGCTCCCCCTGTGGATACACGCCCAAGGTCCAGGTCGAGTCCGGAAACAGCCTTGCGTGGAATGAAGCGCTAAGCGTGGTTTTGCATGGCCTCCGGCAGCTGTTTTTTTCTCTGCATATCAGTGGGCAAGTCTGTAAAACGGGTAGGGCAAGCTGGCAGGTGTGTGTGTAAGGGGCAGTAAGAGATGGAGGTTCCAAATCTGGCCCACACTTGGGCCTGGTCCAGGGGGGAAACGGCTGAGAGCAGGGTGTGGAATGAGTAGCCCTGGCAGGGCGGAGAGAGGAAGAGCCGGTTGCCAGCTCCACCCCAGCTCAGGAAGAGACAGGTGTGAATAGGCGAGAGACTGCATGCCCCAGGCTCGGCCACCTGCACCGCGGCCCCCTCTCCTGGGCACATTCAGCAGGTGCGTCCTGGACGAGTCCTCTCAGCCACAGCTGTTTTCTGAGGCCTCCTCCGGCCACCACGGCTCTAGCTTAGACCCTGCTGTTTCCCTAGCAACTCACAGCCTGACCTCCCCTCCCAGACTGTGCTGGGCAGCCGGGAGCCTGCCCGCTCACCCGCCTGGCCCTAGCTCCCTTCTGAAGTCAACAGAGGAGGAGAAGGTGACGCAGTGCCTCAGCCTGCTGAGCAGACGAGGAGCCCAGGCTGAGAGCGAAGGTGTCAGGGAGAGTTCAGGGCAGCTGGGGTTTCTAGGGCCGGAGCTCAGATGTGGAGCTGTTGGGAAGAGACTTGTTCCCCCTACGCCATAAAGCAGGAGCCCCCCTCATCCATCCCCAGGTACTGATACAGCCTGCAAGCCTGGGGTCCCAGGGCACCCAGAGCTGCTGCACAGATCCATCTAATGGGGGCGGGGTCCCTCGAGTGCCAGCCTGTCACCACTCCACTAGGCAGAGACTGCCAAGGAGATGGAGTCTGTGCCGCCTGGGGCTCCGGAGCCGCTGGGCGGGGCTGGAGAACACCAGCTTGACAGGCTGTGGCTGGGAGGAGTTCAGGCTCCAGCCCCAGCTGAGAGAGCAGGGTGTGGAATGAATAGCCCTGGCAGGGCGGAGAGAGGAAGAGCCGGGTGCCAGCTCCACCCCGTCTCCAGGCCTTTCATAGCCACGCGTTGGAGACAGCCAACGGGGTGCAAAGTGTGCTTGTGGGGGAGGCTTTCTGCGGAGCCCCAGGACTGCCGGTGGCCTTCTTGGACCAGGCTCTGACCAGAGCCCAATGCCAGCAGCCTCGAGTGCCCAGCCTGGGACTGGGCAGCTGGCCAGTGTTGGGCGGTGGTGCAGAGGCTAAGCGAGGGGCCCGGGTCAGCTGGATCTGTGTCTGGTTCCAGCAAGCCCCACTCTGGAGTGTCCCCTTCCAGTCTGTAAAATGGGACTGAGGGTCTCAGTGGGGGCTCGGGGAAGGTTAGTGCAGGGCTTACTTGGCACTGAGGTGCCCTCGGCTAGTGGCCTGACTGCCACTATTGCCCTGGTGGGGCAGGCAGGGGGCCGGGCCCTGCCCTCCCTCCAAGGGTGGGCTCCCCAGGGACAGGGTGCCTTCCTGATGGAGCGTTGGCCCCTCTCCCTGAGCCTGGGCAGGAGGTGTGCGGAGAAGGAGGCGCGAGGGCCATGCTGCTGAAATCCCATTGTAGGATCAGCCTGGACAATTGGCTCTCCTAAGATCAGCCTGAGGCCTTGGGCCCCGTCAGGCAGCTCGGGAAGGCATGGCCACTGCAGCTGCCCAGGGTTACCCTCGGCTAACAGAAAAATCGCAGCAGTGTCTTTGGGCCGGCGGCGCTGGCTCATGTCCCCTAGCAACTACACCTGCAGCTACGGGTCTGGTTACGGAGTGCCCGGCCTGAGGAGGGGCCTGGAGAGGCGGGCAGGCACACTCGCCCTGGGTGACAAGCAGGTCAGACCTCACTTCTGTGAGCTCTCTGGAGGAGAGGAAGGTTTCCCAGGAATTGCGCCCTGCCCTCTCCCACACGCGTCTGCCCACTCCCATCTCCCTGTCGCTTGGCCACGCCCCACTTGTCTGTGCTCCGTGCCCAGGTTGAGTCCCCTGGAGCGTCATGGGTTAGGCTTTGGGTTGTGGGCTGCACAGCCTGCAAGTTCAAACGCACCAGCTGCTCCTCAGGACAAAAATAAGGAAGGCTGTGTGTCTGCTCCCCAGAAACCCCGTGCGGCCTGCCTGTGAGTTGCAACCGACCTGATGGGGGTGGGTGGGAGGGGTGCGTGCTCACACCTTTGCCCCAGGCAGCCTCAGTCTCCAGCCCTCTGGCTCCTCGACTCCCACTTCTGAGACCTCTCCGACAGTATTGTCCCCAGATTGTCACCTCACGTCCCCTCTGGGCCGTAGCTCTTCTGGTCTCCCCAGCACTCCTCCGCCCCCGGCATTGTGCGGAGGCTGCCTGCCGGGAGCGGCAAGCCCACCAGGAGGGCCCCTGGACGGGGAGCAGGCGGTGCTGACAGTAGGCACGCGCTGCAATGGGAATGGGAAAGGGCCTTCCCAAGGGACTCTCTCCCACTCTGGTTGCTCTGGGGTCGGCACCGCCGTGAGTGTCAGAGTGGGACTGCCCACCATGGTGCCCAGTGTTGGGGTCTCCAGAAGGAGACTGTCCACCATTTCTCCTGAGTGCCCACCACCACCCCCGCCCCCACCAGTCGACTTGAAGGGCCAACCTTTTATTTAGCTGCCTGCCAACTCTCGATTACCCCCCACCCCACCGGAGACTCCAAGTCTTGGAGATGCAAGTCCTGCCACTGAGCCCCTTCTGGCTCGGAGAGACCGGCGAGGCTATCGGGGCTACAGAAGTGGACAGAGGAATGTCCTGATCTCTTCATTCCACTCTTCCGTCAGCCTGTGGGGCCCCGCCATACACCAAGACGTCGCACTTACCTGCTGTGCCCCTTTCTCCAGGAAGCCTTCCTCACTGCCGTGCCCCCAGACCTGGCCCTGTCAGTATGTGCTCAGCACCCGTGTACAGAGAAGTAAGGAGCCGTACAGTTCCTGTCCCCAGCTGCACCCAGCGCCCAGCCTCTGTGCTTAGTGAGGGAGGTGTGTGGAGAGGACTCTGGGAGGGGGGGCTGGATCTGAGGAGAAGTCCAACCAAGCCAGGAGACCTTAGCTAGGGGCCACAAGCTAGAGCCAGGCGGCCACAGCCCATGACTGCCCCTTGCAGGATGCTGGAGTTGGGTGGGACAGTGGCTTGGTCCTCCCAGTCGTGTCCAGGAAGTGCGGTGTGCAGTGCCACCCAGAGCTCCGTGCAGAGCCCAGCCCCCGGATGCCCAGCACGGAGCCTGGCTTCTGGAATCTCCTCCTGATGCAGCTCAAGAAGGGAAAGAAGACGGTGGGCCAGGGGCTCTGAGATGGCCCCCACCCCCAGCCTGCAGACACGGCATGTGTGCTCAGAGGCAGGGGCTCTGGGACCCACGGTCATTCTCCGGCAGCGGCTTCAGGATACGAACACTGAACTCTTGAAGAGAGAACCCGCTGGAGACAGAGGGGCTAACTTCAGCTGCAGAGACCCCAGTGGAGGGGAACCCAAGATTCAAGTTCGACAACGTTGGCCAGCTGGGCCCACTGCTGAGATGCTCTGTCCTGAGCTGAGTGTGACCCCAAGCTGGGAGGTTTCTCGAGAGAGGAAGCCGATGTTTACCCCGGAGTGTGGGAGCCTTTGCCGAGGGTGGGACCCTCGGCGAGGTGCCGGGTGGGCAGGCAACAACGTGACCCACCCTGCGTCCATGCACGGTCATGAAGCAGACTGGTCTCTGAGTCCCTAAGTGGTTCGCCCGGTGTGGCTGAGGGAACTCTGTCCCTGGGCGCACAAGGGCCTGTGGACATGGGAACCTTGGCTGAGCAACCAG